TGTGTGTGTGTGTGTGTGTGTGTGTGTGTGTGTGTGTGCGCACAACAAACACATCCACCTACCCTCAATATTCTCGGGCTTATCCAGAGGAATGCAAACCTCTCGGTCATCGCAAATGCCCACCGGGACGCCGTTCCCGTTGACGTCTGCCGACCAGTAGATGTTCTCGGGGACGAGTCGGAAAATGGAGAAGACGTCGATGTAGCGCGTGGCCCAGGTGAGGCCTCGCTCCTTCGGGTCGGGCTCCTGCGGGTGATCCAGGTACAGGTTGGTGCCTGGCGTCATAACCACCTGGGGACAAACAAAAATAGAAACACTAAATCGTCTGACTGACAGCTCTTAACACTTTGCCGTCACATCTCGCCGATCGGCAAGAATGCCGAACTTTCGCTCCTGTCACAAAACGCCAATCTGCGATGTTTACCACACAGTTTCTTTGGAATTCCCCCAAAATGCCTTTAATGGCAAGGGTTTTAACTATAAACCATGTGATGGCAAAGTTTTAATATCCACGCAGGAATGTATTTTTAACAGGAAAAACTTTTTAAAAAGGAGGAGGGGAGATCCGGAAAATAGATCATGTTTCATTGAACAAAAGGAGCTAACCATACTAAGAGCACCTGCCAACCACCCGCATAAACTATTGACACAATTTCTCTTTTCATACTGTGATGCCTCATTATAGTTTTTATACACATGGTTAGTCCAGCACTACAATCGTACACTGAAATCAGCAACCGACCATGTTGGATGTTTATGACACTACTGAATCTAAACTTTTATTGTTCATCCCGAAGAGTGCTAAATTAATGAATTCGAACAAGGAGACGTAACTACGGCAATTAACGATAGTGAACCAAACAGTTATTGTGCATGTAACAGACATTACTGAGATAAACTACACATACCTTATACCCACTATTGGCCAAGAGATATGGCATCTGTGCTCCACCGCCTTCCCAACTGTTCTGCCAGGTATAGGCGTACACACGTCTGCAAGAAAAACAAAACAAAACAAGGTTTTTTGGGGGGTTTTTTAGTATAAGTTTTACGTCACTTGCAACACAATTAGGTCATATAAGTGCCAAAGATTAGAGGTGTTACAAGAGAGTAACAAACACAAAACAGAAAGAGGGGAGAAAAGGACGATAGAGGTTTGATAGGAAAAAAGCATCAAACCACACCAGAGCACCTGCCAACCACCCACAAACATTTTTTTATTTGTCAAAAAGACAATACACAATATGCACGCTGCATTTCTCCTCAGTTCAGCACGATTGAGTTGACTAAGATCAACCAAAAAAAAAAGATACAAAAGACAAGATAAGATGTTAGTGGGCCCAAGATAAGCTATCAAAGATTGAAATAAGATACAATGGATCATAAAGGATATGGCAAGTCGAGTTAAGATACAATTGGTCAAATTTCTGGAGTTAAGTTTTAGTAGAGGTTTTACAGCTCTCGCAGCGGCATAAGGTCATACGAGCGCCAGAAGATTAGAGGTGTTACAAGAGAATAACAAACATAAAAAAGAAGAAGGGGAGATAAGGAAGAGAGATGTTCGATAGGATACAGGAAGCAAATCACACCAGAGCACCTGCCAACCACCCACTAAGCACTGGATCCAAAATGTCGAAGTCGAAAAGGGCTCACAACAGTAACGACTTTTTTTTTTTCTATATACAGAAAAAGAGAGACAGTACCCCCCCGACCCCACTCCCTACACCAACTCAACCATTAGCGAGCGCAGCAGACCAGACCGACCTATTTGGGTAGAGCTCCAGGGGCAGAGGGTTCCTCCTGTGTTTAAAGCTGTCCTCCCAGCCAGCCACGTCCAGGTCGCTGGTCTGCAGCAGTTTGGCCACACGCCGCGCGAAGAAGTCCTGCCAGCCCGTGTAGCGTTCGGTGCTGTCCAAGGTCGCCTTCAGTTTGTCACAGCTAGGAGTGTAACCCATCGACTGTCTCTGCACCTCGTCACCTCCGAAGTGAAACACCTGTGGAGAGGAGGAATTTTGTAAGAGTTTTACGGCATTTGCAACACAACAAGGTCATATAAGTACCGAAGATTTGAGGAGTTACAAGAGAGTAACAAACACGAAAAAGAAGGAGGGGAGATAAAGGCGATAGATGTTTGATAGGAAAGAAGAAGCAAACCACACAAGAGCACTAGCAAACCACCCACTGACCCTTCTTTAAACTCAGTTGCAATAACATATAATGAAGATAGATGACCCCCCGTGGCTGTGCCACTGACTGAAGCGTCTTTAGGCCATTCCCAAAGGGGGGACATTTCTCGTTCTAATGCACAGTAGAATTGTAAATGGGCTGATCCAACAATGTCAGGCTCATATTGTGCCTGAACTACAAAAGGGATTGGCTGCTTTTTCTTTCCCAATCCTTACTATTGCCATTTTCCTCTACTTCTTTTATATGTTTGTCACACTCTTGTGACCCACTATTTCCGGGGGGGTTTGATAGTCGAAACAAACAGACTTTGTGCTGTTGAAGCTAGAGAGGTGAGCAGAGTAAGTCCGATTCCCTGTAAGGACTTCTCTGTTGACATCCAACCCTTGGTGCTCATATGACCTTATTCAGCTGCGAGTGCCGTAAAACCTCTACTAAAACAAAAACGAAGACAGATGACAAGCAATAAAGGACCTTGAGAGGGGCAATGTCGCTGTGTAAGGAGTACACCGTGTTGATCACAGTCTCCACAAAGGTGAAGGTCGACTGAAGGCAGGGATTCAGCACGTTGTTGTTGAACCGCTGCACGGAATAGTGGTTCGTCTCATTTGCCTTGGGCTCTCGCAACCTGTACCTGGAAGAAAGAAAAGAGTAGAAAATTCCGTTTTACTGAGCGGGTGGTTGGCGGGAGCTCTGGTGTGGATTGCTCCTTCTTTCCTATCAAACATCTATCGTCTTTATCTCCCCTCCTTTTTTTGTGTGTTTCTTACTCTCTTATAACACCTCTAATCTTCCGCACTCATATGACTTTATTGTGTTGCGAGTGCCATAAAACACTTACTATAACAAAACAGTTTTACTGAAGACTGCTTTTAAATCATTTAGTGCTATGGACGAGAATACTCGCAAAACCTGGGCCCTGCCCACATAATAGCGACGAGTACTCTCGCACTCTGTCTCGCTATCTTTATAGAAAGAATTATTCTATCTGATCCATATTATCAATTAATTTGAACTAATCGTGATGCAGAGGGTCAATAGCTGTGAAAAATGGTGAAATAGTATGAGTTTAACGCCCCTAACAACATTATTAGGTTATTTAAGAGGCGGGGCCTCCTAATTTAACGTCCGTCTCCGATAGGACCGAGCCAAGCGGGAAGTTCATGTAAAGTGCCTTTCCCAAGGACACAATGTCGGACCGAGCTGAGACTTGAAACCCCGAACCCGCAATCACACGATTACGAGTCCGGTAGCCTAACCACTAGGCTACTGACAAGACCGTCAATAGCTCTGAATAGTGCCAAAATTATTAATGTAAAGTCGAAAGGACACAACTCTAATAAGAAGTCCTGCCATCATCCAACTCCCCCCCCCCCCCAAAAAAAACCCCCAAACTGGCATACTTACTTGAGGGCATCAGAAGTCCTGCCAGCATCCCTCAGCCTCTTGTACCTGGCTTCCATGGCAACAATGGCGGCGGTACAGTGGCCAGGCATGTCGATCTCCGGGATGACCTCGATGTGGCGGGACGTAGCATAGCGCAGGATGGCTCTAACGGGGAACATGGAACATGAGGAGGGAAAAAAAGTATTAGTTTTAGTAAGAGTCTTACGGCACTTGCAACACAATAAGGTCATATAAGTGCCAAAGATTAGAGGTGTTACAAGAGAGTTACATGGTATCCTTCAGTCTCTTTCAGGGGACTATGGATCTGCGCCGTAGGAGATTTCTCGAGAGCAGCGCTTGCTGTGGCTGAACAGGCCCACACGAGAGAGTAAAAAACACAAAAAAGAAGGAGGAGAGATCAGGACGATAGATATTTCAAAGGATAGAGGGAGCAAACTACACCAGAGCACCCATCAACCACCCACGAAGAAAAGAAGGTGAGGGGGGAAAGGTCATCTATTTGGAGAAAGCTCTTATTCTTTCTCCCTTTCTAGGCTTAATTCTAAAGACAAAGAAAGTCTAAGCTTTTTCCCAGTTTACAAACCCCTATTGTGGAGTGGATTCTACTATTAAGTTCAGGCTATTGAGCGCATCTCTATGTAAGCCTCACCCATTAAAATTGTTGTTTTAATCTTAACTTTTTTTTCAAATAAACCACACTGGTTCACAAGCCACAGCAGATTTATTCACATCATCCCTAACCCTTGAGAGATGCAACATCTGAGTCTATATTTAAAATATCATTAAAGACCCATTTAATGACATCCTTTTACACATCAGTAGATTCATTCATTATCATTCTTAGATTCAAAAGTCCAAGATATTCAATAAAAACTACTCCTCAAACAGGAACCGAACTTACATTTTGTGCATGAGACAGTAGAGCCCCTGTCCGCTGCATCCCAGACATCAGTTTCCTCCCCCGTAGTCTTCCAAAACGAAATAATATCCAGCATTTACTTACCTGGTTCCAAAAAGAAGTAATATCCCGCGTTCACTCAATTGTAATCTTCTAAAAAGAAGTGATATCCAGCATTTAATCACCTGCAGTCTTACAAAAAGAAGTATTATCCAGTGTTTAATCATCCCTAATCTACCAATAAGAAGCAACCATTATCATTCCACCTGTATTCTACCAAAAAGAAGTATCGTCCAGCATTTACTCACCTGTAATCTACCAAAATGAAGTATCATCCAGTATTTACTCACCTGTAATCTACCAAAAAGAAGTATCATCCAGCATTTACTCACCTGTAATCTCCCAAAATGAAGTATCATCCAGCATTTACTCACCTGTAATCTACCAAAATGAAGTATCATCAGCATTTACTCACCTGTAATCTACCACAAAGAAGTATCATCCAGCAATTACTCACCTGTAATCTACCACAAAGAAGTATCATCCAGCAATTACTCACCTGTAATCTACCAAAAAGAAGTATCATCCAGCATTTACTCACCTATAGTCTTCCCCAGTATAGTAGCCTGAGCCAGACGTGTTGGCAAAGGGACCAGAGCCCAGGAACGGCATCAGACAGTTCTTCCCCGTCATATCATGGCATCGTCGGCCTCCGATCTACAAGTTTGTTTGAGTAAAGAGAAGCACGGCACTCATATGACCTCATAGTGTTGAAAGTGCCGTAAAACTGTTACTAAAACTTTTTTTAAAGAGAAGCACAGCGACACAGATATTGAACATTTAGTTCTGGGAAAAAGTCAGACAGACAGACAGAAACAAAAGAGGGAAAGTAAAAAACAGGGATGTAAACAGGTTTGGAAAAAAAAGCCGGAGAATATACGGCTCGCGCTCACCGACTGAAATAAGAATACAGTGAGACTAAATTATAATAGTTTCTTTCCCTATAGTACACAAAAAAATCTGTATTTAGTATCTATAATATTTATGTATTGTAAGGGGGAGGGG